CCCCCGGTGTTTGTCATCGGGGTTGGGTTGTCGTTGCCTAGCAACGACGTTGTAAGACAAGCCAATTCACTTCGTGAACTCGGCAACCAGGTTACCGTTTTTTTTTTTTACCTCCGTTTTTTTTTTTGGCGGTAACCATAATGGTGGTCGAGTAGATCATGTTGTGCGGGGTGGAGAACCCTCACTCCGCGCAAGGGGGATGATCGCACCACGTTGTGTTAAAATGGTCAAGCACCCTCGAGGCAGTTACACAGTGCTTACAACTGTCTCTGGAAGTGAAAGCACCAGAAAATAAATTAAGTCATACGCAGCTGTCATCCGTTACGCAACGAAGCAAGCACAAGATGCCGAAAACCCTCAGCAGGATGCAGCGCACCCTTCATGCGACTCGCCGAATACCTCACGGCGCTTCGCGCTTGGTGATGTGAGAGCCTGGTCCGGTGAGAACCNGAGGCAGCGAGGGGAAGAAAGGGTTGGCAGGTACGCATATTCATGTAGACAAATAAAATGTTGTACAAACCCGTTAAAAAAAAGCCCCGATGATGATGTGATCTGCAGTGGCCATATGGCTAGTACAGATGGAGCAAACAATACTCACATTCCGATAGTCGGGAAGCACACAATCTCAGGTCACCCCTCTGTCTTTCAAAACACCAAGGGGTAAAACTACACGGATCGCCAATGTCCTATCGATCACAAGGGACATGCCCCACAAAGAGCTACTGGTGTAGCTGGAGCTACTGTGTTGTAGCTCGATCCATCTGAAAGGATCGGATCTGTCCTAGTGATCATCTGTGTTTGTTTACATGTGGTACGACAGGTCCGACCATAGATATCAACAGAAGGAACAGGAAGTAGGGATAGGTTCTCTGGAGGTTATGTACAAGAAGGGCCCTCGTGACGGTCCTCCACGTCCTGCCCTCCCTGCCAAGAGAGCGCATGGAGAACAGAGAATGTTCGCATGGTTTTCGCGTTCGAATGGTTATCTTTGATTCGAGCAAATGTTTGTTCACGTCCCGTCCGATCTGAGTGCCAGTCCGTCTGCACCGCCATTGACGCACCCAGTCCGTCAGGGTAAACCAGGAGGAAGGTACTCACTCGCAGGAGTGTCCTTGTTGCTCTTTGTTGACGCTTTCTCCCTCCGTCCAGTGCTCTCCTTTCGTATATGTACAGTGCAAAAAAGGTTCACAGCTATTTAAGTACTCGTACCGTTTTATTTCGTTCCTTCTTGCCACGACTGATTGCTGTTACGTTCCCGAGACTCAATATCCGAGAACACTTCGTTTGCGGTTTGCCAGGTTCCGGAGGTGAGAGATTCGAATCCGAATCCGAGACCAGTAGGGTCAACAGCAGTTAACACACGTCAGGTGACCTGCGTCACGTCGTTGACCGGGATAACTCGTCCTGTGCACCAAATACCAAGTAAAATACCAAACTAATTTCTGTGGCCCGAGCCCACTGATGTTGGCTGTCACGCTGTCACTGGCATGAAGCCATGAAACCTGACATTCCTTGTCGTCCCGCAACCACCGGAATCACGGGGTTTGGGGATGAGAAGTAGCTCCCCCCCCCCGCCCGGACCTTGACAAAACTCCTGTGAGAGGACGAACGCGTCTCTAGGGAGGGAATACAATCATGTCGAAGCTGGTTGAAATCCATTGAAACTCCAATTTCCCCACCGCATGATGATAGATCATGCATGTCCTGTTGTTGGCAAGCGCAATGTCGTATTTCTCTCGCCATAGACAAACGTGGCTGTACCTCGACCTGATCATCCCTTATAGTGTGGGAGCCTTAACATCATCTCGCCGGCCGAAGTACGCATCTATGTGCGTCCTATTCTGATGCAAAACGAACACAACGTGCGTGTGTGTACGTTGTGTTTTGGCGCAGTGTTTGCATTGTGGGTGAGCGTGTTCACGCACTCGCAGTGATGCTGTTGAAAAGGAATGTGCATACCTAATGCAATATTTGCCGACTACCACATGGTTGCATCGATCAGCCCTGTTGCTGGAGGTGCTAAATAGGTGGGAGAACTGCGCCCAAAAGCAACAGACAGTATGCTTGCCTGTCCCGCTACAAATCGAGCCACACGCCCTTGCTTGACACCTTCGCATCGGCAGGACTACCGTGAAGTGTCAATTCTCGTACTGTCATCGCGGCAAAGACAGCTGAAAATACTCACGGGGTACGCCGTTACAGACTGCTACCACCATGAGGTTGAGGAAAATCAAGGGAGAAGCCGCCCTCCTTGCGGTGGCGGCGATGCTGACCAGTGCTACAATCGTTCCGGCCGAGGATCGACACAAGTTTCACAAAAAATTCCTAAGGTGAGGATATGAGGGTGGGTGGTAGGTTCATCCCAGGCACGCTTGGGCATGTCAAGGTCAGAACTGATGCCGATCGGTGGCGATGGGCGCACGCACGACGATTGCTTTGCAGCGTTCACACCAACCTCGAGGACAGTTGAGCTGCTGGCACTGCGCTTCCCTCCTCGTTCTGATCGGAGGTAGTTTCGCTGGGTATAGTCAGGGTGAACCCTGTATCCATGTCTGGTTGTAAACAGTGGCAGCGATTGACGCGACGGTGGGAGTCCGTCCGTAACGCAGCCATCAATCAGAATGCTTCAGGTAGAGCTGGGACGTGCGGACGAAAGGATTGGCATGTTCAGGATGATTATATTATTTCATATGATATTTCATTATTTCCTGCCCCCAGTAGCATCTCTTCGCGCCTGACCAATCCCACACCTTGCGCGAACGTTTCTCACGCCCAGGGCTCCACCGAAAGGACCGCGTCCACTAGCACAAGCACCGCAATCTCCAGCGAGCCACACGACAGGTATGTACAAGTACATTGATGCTCTTTCATGAAGCCAAGCACATCACAGTAAGCGAAAGCACCAGCAGGAGGAGCAGGAATACGATGTCGGGGGGGGGGGGGGGGGGGGGGGGGGGGGGTGTACTCATAGTCGTGCATGCCGTAGTCGTTAGACCATTGACCTCGCATCCCTACAAAGCCGGGACGGAGCACGCCGGGTTCTCACCGGACCAGGCTCTCACATCACCAAGCGCGAAGCGCCGTGAGATATTCGGCGAGTCGCATGAAGGGTGCGCTGCATCCTGCTAAGGGTGTTCGGCATCTTGTGCTTACTTCCTTGCGTACGGATGACAGCTGCGTATGAATTAATTTATTTTCTGGTGCTTTCACTTCCAGAGACAGTTGTAAGCACTGTGTAACTGCCTCGAGGGTGCTTGACCATTTTAACACAACGTGGTGCGATCATCCCCCTTGCGCGGAGTGAGGGTTCTCCACCCCGCACAACATGATCTACTCGACTACCATTATGGTTACCCCCAAAAAATACAACGGAGGTAAAAAAAAACAACGGTAACCCGGTTGCCGAGTTCACGAAGTGAATTGGCTTGTTTTACAACGTCTTTGCCNAAAAATACAACGGAGGTAAAAAAAAACAACGGTAACCTGGTTGCCGAGTTCACGAAGTGAATTGGCTTGTTTTACAACGTCATTGCCAGGCGACGAAAACCCGATCCCGATGGCAATCACCGAGGGGGCGGGGCGGGGCGGAGGGGTGTTGGACGCACACGCTCTCACGTGCGAAAACGACGGCATCGTACAGTCGCGCGCAAGCTAAAAAATTCTTGGTGTTGACCCTGACCACAGTATGTGACCACAGGCCTTTTCAGCTCCCTTCTCAGCTCCGATTACTTAGCGTGCCGAAAGATCGCCGGTGTGCCTCGCTCAAAAGCAAGAAACATACGTTTAACTACATGTACATATGTAGGTACAGTAGCAGGGAGATAAAGAAGCAGCTCACCCCAAAACAAGATTATTGGCAATTCGCTCAAGACATACAGCAGTACTATCTACGACCCATGCCAAATCTCTCTGAGGTGGGGCAGATACCCCTTCCAGATCCATTCTACTACACAAGAGGGTTCATACAGCATCATCAACATGTGATAAACCTGGTGCCGCGTCGGCGGGGGAGAGCAGAGAAAATGCACACCCTAGCCTAAGCAATCGTACTGCCTCGGTGCCTGATGTTGTTGTGGTTGGGGTGCGTGCGGTTCCCGGTATTGGGGGTGAAAAGAGGTCCGCCTGCTGAAGTCAGCTTTTCGATCAAGGGAGAGGGTTTCCACGACTGCACCTCCGATCACACCGCCGAACACAGCAGTTTTCGGTTTTTAGTACAGAATTGTAAATTGTAGAAGTATCACGATTTTCATGTGCTTTGTGCGATAGTGGATGGCGGTCTCGATTTGCTGAGCGGGCGGATACTTTTGCATCGAATCTGGCGCTTCTGTGAGGCGGTTTTTTCCCGCAGCGTAATCGCATCTAGCGCTGCTATTGTAGCATGTGCGCTTTTTGCCGCATGCTCTGTCCAAGGGTGAGGCAGAGAAGATGTGCCAACCGGTATTTGTTCAAACAGGTATATCCCTTGCGTGGATGGTTGCTATCGGAGAAGGCATGCACATATCCTCAGAAACTACTGCTGAATATTCTCTCCTCACGCTACTGTTCGTTACCCTTGCTTGTACCCGCGTCCCCATCCCTTTGACCCCCACACATGGACCCACTGCTGCACCATCCTTGCCACTTTGATTTGTGTGTGTACACGCATGCAGCAAGGCACGAGGATATTACCACAGACAGCCATTTGGGGGGGGGAAATGTAGGGAGCACTGAGTACTACGTAATTCCAAACCATCCCAGTCACGTAAGGGTTAATGAAAAGCGAGCCCGTGATATTCTGAAATAATACATTTCTCCCCCCCCCCCC